CTAGTATATGTTTTTGTATTTAAGCTACTGATCTTTTACTGTTAGTTTTAATATACGATCATATACGCTAGGTTTTATCAAGGAGGTCATATAACCTCCTTGGTTTTATATATGTATTTGAATGTTTTATGTTACACAAGCGGTGAGACTTTAATAAAATATTGAATCTGAATCGGTGTTTTTTCTCTAAAATTTGACACCGAATGACATTCATAACCATAATTAACTAATTTGTTCCTTGAAAAACAGCATATAGCGCTCCTTTGACATTTTTTGTTTTGGTCATTTCCTTTTAGTTTTTTATTTTAGTTTTTTTTATTTTGGAAACAAATATTTTCCCGGTCTCTATCAAAAGTGCAGTTATAAGATATCTTTTTGCATTTATAACTTTGTCACATGTTCAGATGTACACTGTTATATTGTTAGAACTTCAAAATACTATCATGTCGCCGTGATACCGTGAATTTGAGTGGATTTATCTGTGTTCTAGGATAATATATGTAAAAAGGATTTACATGCAGTGCCTGACTTATCAAGCAAACTCCTGCTTGAAAACGCCAACATCTCTATAAAAAGCAGATTGAAAACTAAAGAAAAAAATGAAGGTTCATATCAGTAAACAATTTAAAGTACATTTATTTAGACAAATACCGATATTTCATTTCATGAAAACTAAAATATTCCTAAAAAATAATTAATACTATTGACAAATCATTGAAAATTACCTAATGTGTCTTTATTCTAGACTTATGACTAGATGTGTCTTTATTCTAGACTTATGACTAGATGTGTCTTTAATCTAGACTTATGACTAGATGTGTCTTTAATCTAGACTTATGACTAGATGTGTCTTTAATCTAGACTTATGACTGGATTCCTTTGCAAAATATACTTTGGTCTAATTATCTTATTCAGTGATATGCAAACGATCGTCTTTTAAATACAAGAATCAACGGGTGCTAGATCATTACAAGAACTTTAGCTCAGAAAAAGTCAATTAAGACATACTGATTTTTTTCAATAATGTTTTCAATATTTTGCCACTTCCGCCTTAATGCACGAGTAAGTTCTTATAAGAAATAAACTTGTCTAACATTACAGTATCGTTCATTCGAAATGTGTAACAAAAGATAATTTCTTTTAATGAAATAGAAACATCTCAAAAGAAAAATACTCTAGTCTACTTTCTGTTGCAACATTGGCTCTATATAATACAAATTACTGGTTTCATACTTGAAAAGTGAAATATAAACAATTACTACGACCATTACAGCTGGGACTATTATACTCAATATATTATGTCCCAGATTACAGTAATTAAGCGTATATGTAGGTAACTCGAACAAATATAAGCTTTCAAAAAGCTTGTATGACTTAAACATCTATTAAACGTGACCTGACGTGAATTTATCCATTAGTGCAGGATCTGGTATAAGTTAAGGATTTTAATTAAGGTGGGCTTAGATTGTATATTAGGTTGGGAGTGTATGTAATTTTGAAAATTTAATACAAAATATGTAATCATGGTATATATTTTTGTTTACAACCGAGAACGGTGAAATTATAAAATTTGCTGTGATGAGGGCATCCTTTTAGTTCATTATTTGTTATTCTTATTTTGATTGTAATTTTGTTTTCTTCATACCGAATGCTTTGGGTTTAATTCAAATAGTGTATACAATCAGATGGTATGCTCTGTACACTAAAAGAAGAGTTAACTCTGTTCCTATAATGGACATTTAAAAATGACTTATATTTCCTCGACTACTTGAAGGAGATACAGTGATTCTATTATTTTATTTGGTAGCATCATGTGAATACATATCTAACACTATATTTTCGTGTATTATCCTCCAGACTTCGATGTTTCCCCTTTTTAATTTGGTACAGTTCTAACGTACATTAATACTTTTTTTTGTGTAAAAAGCTGTAAAAACAATCTTTCGGTTACATATTTTCTTGAACACTTTAAAATAACCTCCAAGAGATGAATCAGCAGAAAATCTGGATAGTGCAGATACCATTTCGAACTCGCCTATACAGAGTCTTCACGTGTTATCACACAGAAAGATATATTAAAATGTATATCTCACTTCACACATTCATGGAATAGATGGGATTCTTGAGGAAATGTTCAAAGAATATAAAATTACTCTCATACATTTTGTAGGTATGTTTTTCACCAGACGCATTCATTTACACGCAATATATGCCTGCTTCAAAACGGTCGATCTGCCAGATATGTGGTAGATTGTGTTTGGTTTAATCGAAAATGTATAATGACCCAAAATGGATAATGCTCAAAGTTTCCAAATAAATATGGTACATTCTCTTTAAAATAAAGAATGCATAATAATCAGCATTTATATGGAAAAATATTGATAAGTCTACGGAAAATTGAGGGGAAAAAAATGTCAATGAATTCAAGAAATAACATGAAATGCATGGGAAGAGGCTGATTTAAACAGGAAGAAAAATATAAAAAATTTCAAAATATTTTGTAAGATATGGATTTAAGATATATGTAGAGAAAATATAGAGAATCATGAAATGCTGAAACCTGAGACTTCTATAAAACCAGGTATATTTATATATGTCTCTGTTATAACACAGTAGTCTCAGTGAAAACATAAGAAGCAAATGACTTTACGAAAAGGTAATATGTGAGTCTCTGCTAGCAAGTGTTCAGTAAGAATGTTTAAAAAAATTCCAGAATTTTCTATTTTTAAGCAATGGCAACAATCTTTGTTTCATCACTGATTCAGGTTTTGCTCATTATTCTAAAAAGACACCTACTAAGGGACTTTCACCAAATTTCATTTTTTTTTTTTTTTTTTTTTTTGCAGCTGAATAACTTCAGAATAAACGACAACTAGATCCATTCCTGTATGTTTTATATTAAGTAACATAAGCCATGTTGGTATCTTTGTAGGCATATGCAACATATTTTTTTGTGTTAAAATGTTGTAATAACTTCCCAGTGTAACTTCTACTAACCTACTGTATCGATACTGATGAAACTTTACAAGTTGTAGAACATTACCTGAAGATGTGCATAAAAGAACATTATAAACTCTAATCCATATGTTAAAGGGGAGATAATCAAAACTCTCATATGTGGAAATTAATAGTAAGTGCTACATGGATATCCATGAAACTTAAATAAGTTGTAGAAATCTACCAGATGGTGTCAATAGCTTGTTATTCATGTCCTACATGTTAAAAGGAAATACATGTAATCGGATTTACTTACAACATATGGTACACAATTATAAGTCTAACTCTCCCCAAAAGACTACACAAATTATTATTGATGAAACTTTACACAGTTGTAGAACACTGCCAGAGGAGGTGCATAAAGAATATCATTCCAGTCTCAAATGTTTAAAGGACATAATCAAATTTATTAACTTCAGTATTGTAATATGTGGTAATAATTGGAAGCACAACTCCCCCTAAAAGGCAAGACAGATGGAGGAGGGTGAGGATGGGGGTTTACAGAATAGAGAATAATGGACAAAAAGTATAAAGAAAAGAGAAAATTGGACCAAACTAATAAAGAATAGAGAATAAAGAGGTGTTTAAATATAAAGAATTGAGAATAATGGGCAAAAGGTATAAAGAATAGAGAAAAATGGCCTAAAAAATTAAAGAATACAAAAACGAAGGACCCCCATCCAGACCCTCATGGAGCAGAACAGGGGTAACATTTTTCATTTCACAGTTTTAGATTAACTGAGCTCCCTAAGGATGATAGAGGCCAAGTTTGGAACACTAAACAGTGCTTTTTAATAATATATTTGAAGTGCTGTATTATTACCAATAGCTTGATATAAAAACACAAATTCCACAGTGGTATCCAAATAAGACCAGTTGCAGGGTCATTGGCATTATTTTCTGATAGAAAACCATTTAAAGACCTTTTTTTCAAAAAGTTATTCAAATATGATCAACTAATGATTTTTTTTAAATTGTAATAAAAACACAGAATTTTCAGTATCTATGAATGGTAGTAAAAAAGTATGAACTGTACACTGTATTTGTATCTAACCAATGATGTCTATTTCAAAAATCTTCTCCAGAGTGCAATGTAAGCATATTTGCACTCGACTTCTCATCTATTCTGTTAAAGGTTTTAAATGGTTGACTGCACAAATATTCTATCCTTAGCTTCAGTCTGAAGGTTTTATAAGATACTATTTCCTTTGGTATTGTATATCAGCAAAGCATAAATGAATGGCAGTAAACTATAGTGTCAAAAATGGTCAAAGTTTTGTTTCTTATAACATGGTGCAGCATAACGTAGACTGTGAATTCATTATTATTAGTGGGATATCAATTTGAACCCTAATTTAAATGTTCAACAAAGTACAAATTTTTTCATAGGCTTGCATGCAAACTTTATTAAAACCACCAATTCAAATATTCACGAAAATACAATTTTTCCTTAATCCACAAAAATTAGTAACCATGAAAATAAATGAACCCACAGTACATTGTATTCTCTTATGGTTGTTGACTATTATTTATTTCAAACGCGAGAGATAACACTTGTTTCATATTGAACAGAGTGTGATATGAATAAGTGATATGAAAAATGTGTTAATTTGATTGGCCTATGATGTCAATCATTTATGTTGATGCCTTATATGTTCAAGAACATGAAGAGGATTAAGTAAGTAAGTCAGACTGTTTGGTGTCAAAGACAATAACAATGTTTCACAGTATTTCTATTTCGCGTATAGAGAATTTTTACTACAGTATAAGAGAAATAGGTTGTAAGTGAAAATCTTATATCGCTTGATATCAACTATGGTAAGTTAATTTCAATAACAGGCTCGTTTGTTATTATTTTGAAACTAAATAACTTGAGTTGATATCAAGCCATATTCAATTCTCACTTGTTATGAAACATATAATTATCCCCTTTGGTTTTATGAATCATTAAAAGTACTTAAAGATGGGTTTTAAACTCAAGTTCTAGTGAAACACAATTGAGAAAGACAAAATTCTTAAAATTTATTTCTTGCAACAAAATAAACAAGTAAAAGTAGTAACAGATGCTAACAATGATATCAGAGATTTACATTTCTAGTTATTTATACTTTCCCAGATTGTTATTATTTAAAAACAAATAGTAACATGCTGTTCAGTTCTCAGTTCTACATTAATATTTCATTGTGTGTTGTTTCTCAATTTTCAATGAAAATGACCAGTAAAATGCCAAGTAATTATGCAATAACAGATATGTCTTGTGGATTCTTCTAATTCTGAACACCACCACAAATATTCAGAAGCAGGTTGTTAAGATTTATTACATGTATATATAACAATCAAAATCATGGTCATAATAATATGATAAATAAATAAAACATACAAAATAACAAAATCTATAAAGTATTTGAAACAAACAAAATAAAGATAAATATAATTACAAGCAAATGTTTATTAACAAAACAATGGAGATCATGAAAACCTGAAATTCATATTGCACAATCCCTATAAGAATTGAGACAGAATCTACAAAATAAACAAAACATTTTATATCGATGAATGAAGACAAAAAACAATAGATACAATATAAACAAAAATAAATGGATGATCGATCCCAGTAAATAATAGACTTTTTAAGCAAATTAACAAATTGCTACCATTTAAGAACAAAACATTTAAACTTTATAAGTACACTGTATTATTTTTGGTCATTTAAAACTGAGCAGATTAGAAAATTTGTATTGTTATTTCTTTTGTCCAATTATTACTTTCAAAACAAAAAGTAAGATACTTTATTAATGAGAAAACTTCCGTTGCAGATATATTATGTAATCTATGAAGATTTCTTATGAATTAAGGAAGATAGGACATAGGGTATATGTCAAGGAGACTGTAAGTCCAGGACACAAAATAAAACCAAGACACCTAGCTCTATACAGGCCCACATTCAGTTTTCAAAAGTATAAATATGAATTTTCACAATAAATCAAGGTCCAAATATCCTTAAATATAGAAAAATTCAGCTAGTAAATGAAACTTTTAATTGCCATGGCTTTTATAATGAGATTAATAGTGTGTGCAAGTAAAAAAAATCCCATATTCACAATAAGTGAACATGGTCAAAAAGGCAAACACATCCTGTATTGTCACTTCAAGATAAAAAGCTCCAATTTTTCTTCATATTTTTAATATTAACCATAAAAATGACTATTGGAAAAAGGGTCAATAATACTTATGATTACATTCAATCAAAATAATTTAAATATTATGAATGTATAATTTACAGACTTACAAAAAAAACGGAACCTAAAATAAACATAAACACAATAGTATCTTAATATAGAAAAGAGATCTCAACTTAATACAAGTATTGATTGTAAAATAACAGGTTCACGTTCAATAATTATGAATTATTTAACAACTCTATGTAACTTTTCCTTTCGAATTTTCTAAATTCACTTCATTATTTCTAAATAAATAAAACAAATACAATAATAGACTGCAGTTTATACTTTTATAAAGGAATAATGGGACTGTAGTTCATTCTGTTCACAAACATCAATCTAGGATATAAATTATAATCAAAGTAAAAATATGGAAAAGTAAAGTATGACAGACATTGCTCCCCCTTAAAACTGGGTTATAAAATTTAAGCACAGTCCCTGAAACTAAGTAAATCAATAAGTTTTAATATTACAACGAGGCTAACCTTTTGAATAAGGAGAAATGATGCATATTTCATTATTTTTAACATCTTTGATGCATGGAATATTATTGGTGGTCCTAATATTTACAGTACCTGATAAATGAAAACATTCAAACTTCCCAACTATGAAAATCCCATCTCCTTGAAATAGGGTTCCTGAACAATGCATCAGAAATGTTGACAATATAGTCACAGTTCTAGAGGTGAATGCAAAGTCAGAGCCAATGGTACCCTTCAACTTTTTCAAGGTAAAATAAGAATCAAAATAAAAATAAATGGAGAATGTGCCCATGGGATACAAATGATGCCCACGCTTGCATGTAACGTTATAAAGGGACATGACCCTAAATTTGAACTTGATCTGAGTTTTGTAATAATTAGCACTGTGTACAAGTTTCATAACATTTTATTGAGGCAAACTTAAGTTAAAGAATGGAAACAAAAAATTCAGCAATTTCTCCATTTGTAAAGGGCATAACTCGAGGACGGAAAAAATGATGCCACCCAAATTCAAAAATACAAGAAAAGCCTACCCAAAAAATCTAACCTATGTGGGTTTTATTGGATACAATATTTTATATATTTACACTAAATGAATATAACTCATTCAGAGAATAAATTTGTTTAACTTCTATTTTTAAGAAATAAAATTAGGTGTTCGTTCATAATTTTTAAAGTCAATATGAAAATGGCACAGGAATAGGACTGCTAGGCCATAGTTCTTATTAGTACAATTATAGTAAATAATCTCAATAATTTTGAATGTAGTTTACAGAAAAAAATGAATAAAATAAACATAACAAACACAATTGAATTGAATATAAAAAATGACTTTAATATAACATATGTTGTAATTTTTAAATAAAACATAGCATTTGATCAATAATACTTAGGAATTTTATTTCACAGCTCTTTGTAATTTCCCCCATAGTTTTTTTTTTAGAATTTTATATAAACTTGCTACAATAGAGTGAGCTTCAAAAAAATTGTTCTGTATAATTCATATTTCTTATTTTCAAAGGATTTTTTTTTTTTTATTTCTGTTAATTCTATGGCAAATCAGTTCAAACCAAATGTTACCGAACCAAAACTTGTAAGTTTGACAACAAAAAGTGATATATTTAATAAAGATACAAAATTTAAGGATTTTCACTTTTAATTTAAACAAGAATAAGAAATCCCTTTAACTTGCAAGCAATTAATGTCTGGCATTCACCAGGGAATAATTTATGCATACTCTTGTAAGTTAGCAGCAACTATATATCTAGCATCTATGTATGTACAGATATCAAAGTGAATGGGAGAGATGATCTTTTATGCATACTACTGATAAAAATAGAAAATTCCCAGAATTTACTTACAACACTCACCAGTATCATATATATATATCATGTATGAAATAGTTATCATGTCAGTTTGATAAATCATTTTATTTAAAACTATTTTAATCTCACACTTGTACTGTTGCATCTGAATGGAAGCTTTTCATTCCTATTGGTGAATTCAAGGTAGAATTCAAAATGTCTGGAAGAAAATTACCACATGTTTCTTAAACATTCCATCATCCATTAGGTATATATAAGAGAAAAGAATTCTTCTTAAAGTTTGAAGATACAACAGATTTTTTGACTGTATCATTACTACATAACCTGAAATTGAACAAAACAAGAAAAGTCAGGAAAAATTTACATGTTAGCCTTGGGTGGTTGTTAAAGTTGTGTAGGGTTTCTTGCAAGTATTGGGAATAATTATGTTTTGTTTAATTTTGCATACTTTTGAAAGTTTTTTTGGTAATTTGTCTTTTGGTTGTTTTTTTTTTTCATTACAACCACATGTTTAATTGATTTATTTTAATTTCTCAATTAAAATTTTACTGGTTTTACAAAAAATCTTTTTGCAACATCTGAATGTTGGATTATTGGCCTTCCCACTGACTACATTAAAGTAAATGGTATGAAAGTATCCCTCTGGTACACAAGAAGCCTGAGTACTTGATAAAGGGATATAGGAGAGAGGTCTTAAGTTTTTCATCAATATTGACAGTGTGGTTAAGTTGCTGTCTCTGACGTAAATTTCATCAGATATCAAAATTTGGTTACATTCAGATAAATATATAAAATACTTACGGAATATTTTCATGCGGTTCTGTTTCCAGTGCATGATCTGGTCCTAAATCACCAAAGGAATATGATTTTCCGAATGAGAGCCTTTTTTCTTCTAATTCTCTGTCTCCACCATAAGAAGATGCACTACTGATACGATTCCTCCACAATCCCTCAGGAGAACTTAACAGCTGTGATGGTGACTTAACAGGAGATTCTGGTATGTTGTATGTAAGATTCAGCTTCATATGTTTCCCAAACTGAAACATTGAGAACAATTTGATTAATAAAAGGGATACGGATTGATCCCATGGCAACTAAACATGTGCATGTTCAAAAATTAATTAACAGCTGTAAGGCCAATTGAAATTAATTGATAGATTTTCATCCACACCCGCCCTTCTGAAATCGTCCCATCCCCAATTTTTTTATTTTCTAAAATTTACAATTTCTGGATTTTGTTCATTTCTGTTACTGATAACCGCCAATGATTTCGTTTCATTCAAAACTTCCTGTTTCAAATGCACAAGGATAATAGTTCAAATTTCGGTTTTCGTATTTCTTTGAGTAATATAAGTTGATATATTCTTCTGCTACATGATGACAACATCATCTTCTGAGAATATAGATTGATTACTAGAAGGGCATGAAATATTCGGGTTACGAGTAATAGGCGGTACCCAAAACCGTGGATTTTTATTTATACAATGACTTTGTGTCAGGAAATTTGGACTGTGAATGATATCGTGGAACACATTGGTACAAAAATTGACTGGAATAAAGTAATTGACACAAGCACGAACTTATGACCGTATATCGAGTACAAAGTCAAAGAGTCGGCCAACGTACAAAATGTATTATAGCAACCCCTTAGATTTACTCCAAGACTGTTGTTTTTGTTGACAAACAGCAAACACCCTCAATAGTGTAATTAAACAATTTTATCGTTTTTGGTTCAATTCATGTTTTACATTGTAATTATATTTGCACCTTGCATAAGAATCTTAAAAGCATCAACCCTAGAATTTCAACACAGTTTGAGTTTTCATTTCACTCTGTACTCATAATGTTTATATTATTTTTTTACCCTAAAAGAGAACATTCTCCACGTTTTTGCTATTAACTAAAAATAGGTTTCTAAAGTGGCAATTACATGTAGAACATAGGCTGCCAATCAGAAATGTTAATTTAAGAATTTGAAAAATAATGTAAAATTCCTTATATATACATGATATAAGCTTATTATCACACTTGTATATGAACAACATGTCACAAAAGGGTAAACGGAGAAAATAAAAATTATAAAAAATAAAATCCTCCCACCCGCCCCATTTTTTTCAAAAATCTGGATGAAAATCTACTAATTAATTTTAGTTGGCCTAAATTACAAATTTCTCTTTAAACATTGGAGACAGCATATTTATTATATAATTCAGGAAAAGGCCCACTTTTGTCCCTGATAAGGGGAAGGTTGAGCATTCACAAAGATATTTATCCCTATCTCATGCTGTATGAGCCTGTTATTCAGTGGTTGTTTGAGTTGCTGTCTGTCAACTCTGTCTTATTTGGTTTTTTCCTTTCGTATTATCATAAATCATCCTTTGGTTTTCTCTTTTGAATTGTTTTACATTTTTCATGTCAAACCCTTTAAAAGGTTACTACATTTAGGGTAAGGGTTTATCTACCTGTATATTCATTTAAATTTCGTGGATACTAATTTTTGACAATTGAGGAAATATTATATTTTCTTGGATACTTGATTTCATGTTTTTGACAAGTTTTGCACTCAAGACTATAGGAAATTTGGAATTCGTTGTACACTGAAAATTTCCAGTTGAATACTGGAATCTCATGAAAAATAAGGAATCCACTGTATTTAACTTCCTAAAAAGTAGCCTTACCTCATTAAAAAATTCAAAAGCATCCTTACCTCATTAAAAAATTCAAAAGCATCCTTACCTCATTAAAAAATTCAAAAGCATCCTTACCTCATTAAAAAATTCAAAAGCATCCTTACCTCATATAAACCAGGTTTGAGTACCGTAAACTCTACTTTTGTGCTGACAGTAGTACCATAAGATAACTTCCTTCAAAAAAAGATGAGAACCTGTCTCTGTCGTCTTAAATTTAGCATATGCATTATAAATTGGTATAAATCAAAATATCAAACAAAATACATGTATTTCAATGAAACAGCAACCCAACAAATAAAAAATCCAAATGACATAAAGAGGTTAACATTCTGTTTTCAACAATAGAAAAGATTTTTTACATTACTTCATGCTCTAAATCTCCAAGAGTTTAGTAAATTTGTGAATAAATTACAAGAGTTTAGTAAATTTATGAATAAATTCCAAGAGTTTAGTAAATTTGTTAATAAATTCCAAGAGTTTAGTAAATTTGTTAATAAATTACAAGAGTTTAGTAGATTTGTGAATAAATTCCAAGAGTTTAGTAAATAAATTCAAAGAGTTTAGTAAATAAATTCCAAGAGTTTAGTAAATTTGTGAATAAATTCCAAGAGTTTAGTAAATTTGTGAATAAATTACAAGAGTTTAGTAAATTTGTGAATAAATTACAAGAGTTTAGTAAATTTGTTAATAAATTCCAAGAGTTTAGTAAATTTGTTTAGTAAATTTGTTAATAAATTCCAAGAGTTTAGTAAATTTGTTAATAAATTCCAAGAGTTTAGTAAATTTGTGAATAAATTCCAAGAGTTTAGTAAATTTGTGAATAAATTACAAGAGTTTAGTAAATTTGTTAATAAATTCCAAGAGTTTAGTAAATTTGTTGATAAATTCCAAGAGTTTAGTAAATTTGTTAATAAATTCCAAGAGTTTAGTAAATTTGTGAATAAATTCCAAGAGTTTAGTAAATTTGTGAATAAATTCCAAGAGTTTAGTAAATTTGTGAATAAATTACAAGAGTTTAGTAAATTTGTGAATAAATTACAAGAGTTTAGTAAATTTGTGAATAAACTCCAAGAGTTTAGTAAATTTGTTAATAAATTACAAAAGTTTAGTAAATTTGTGAATAAATTCCAAGAGTTTAGTAAATTTGTGAATAAATTCCAAGAGTTTAGTAAATTTGTGAATAAATTACAAGAGTTTAGTAAATTTGTGAATAAATTTCAAGAGTTTAGTAAATTTGTGAATAAATTCCAAAAGATTACCATAGATCTGACAATAATATGTTGGAGTCGAATAGCTGGTGACACACAAATATTTTAAACTATACTAAAATGTACCAAAATATGTTTACAATAGTAAAGCATACTGCACTTATTTTTGTTTTTATATAAGAGTTTTACAAGTAATAATCATGAAATTGCATTCATATATAAAAAAGCAGATTTGGTATGATTGCCAATGAGACAACTATGCATCAGAGACCAAATGAAGTGGAAGTTGGCAACTATGGAGCAAACCAACTTATACGGTATAGTAAACTATAAAAGGCCCTCAACTGACAAAATGTCGAATAATATAACTTTTATAAGGAAATATGTAGTAAATTTACAAAATCTGACAATTTTCAACAACCTGAAGTTTTTGTTGACACACTTACCCAAATTTTATAACAGGATCATGACATAGAAGACCAGATTTTATATTTTCCACTTCTTTAAGATACTTCTGCTGCTTTTCTGAAAAATACAAAGGAACAACTGTACAATATCATCCTTCATTAAATTATCTGGCAATCATGGAGTTAATGGGTTGAAAGACAAGCTAAAACTCTTTGTTTTCAACAACAGTGCATAAATAAAATGTATCCCCAAAAAAAAATTGTTTATCCTTCACAAAATATGAAAATTGTCCTTAGCTTTTATTATTTGAAAATAGTAAAATTCATATCACAGAAGGGATAACCAGTTCTCTGTTATAATGCATACAGCTGAATTCAGGAATTTACTGTAAACAAGAATTAGAGCAATCTAAAGATAAGTTTCTGACACTCCAAAATAAGTGTTTATACTACATACTTTGATCTGATGTCTGTGGTACAACAGGGTTCCAGTATAACTTCCATTCTTGAAAATCTTGTAAAGTATTGGTAACTGTATATGTAAGTTTAAAGCTATAAAATGATTGATAAAAAGTCATTCTTCTGTAAAAGAGATTTATTGTAAAAAATAATAACAAGTCTGATTTCCTTATAATAGGATAATGACATATATTCCGTAGTTATTAATGTACAACTTGTCTTGATGTGGTGAAATAAAAGCTTACATGTGGTATGATTGAGTGATTGGTTGTTTGTGTTTAACACCACTTTCAGCACTTTCCTGGCAGCCAAATTATATTTGTGGCAGCCAGTCATAGTACTTGGAGAGAGGCTTAAGTGTCTAATGTTACAGCCCATAAGTTGACCGTTATTTTAATGGTTTTATTTTGCTGTTGGGTTGCTGTTATCCAGATGGACATTCATTTCAAGTTTTGATCTAATGAACTCTGGAACCAGCACTTTAGAAGAAAGACTATCAAAAAACAGGAAGATGTGTTCACAGGACAAGATACCCTGCTCAGACTATGACACACTGACATTTTCAGTGAACTGTAAAACTCTGGCCCCATTTTGATATATATTGTAAGAAGCTGACATTCTAACGAACATGTGTTATAAGTTTTAAGTTGATGAGAACCTGAAACAAGAACGACAAATGAACAGATGCACAGATCAGAAAAAATAATGGTCCCTTCAATTGTAGGATGGGTATTAAGTTCACAAAGAATGATTGATATTACATATTGAAAAAAAATCACATTTCTTATTGGAAAAAATTGCTGAATTACCAAGTGTATCTATATATAGTTGAATCTCTTTGGATCAGGCAACTTAAAAGTAGATTTTTATTCATGTCAATATTTTACCTTTCACCAACATCGATCTTCTTAGGACCACATTGAACGTCTAAAACAAATGGTACTTTTCTAAACAATATCTTTGGCAATCTGAAATTATGTTTTAATTTTACTATCAAAGCTATCAATAATGTTCTCCTTAATATTGATTACTGGACAAAGAATTATAACTACAAAATGTACTTAGCAATAAAAAAGTTCTGACTACCATTTATCAAATATGAAGGTTGACAATTCTTTTTCATTTCATACCCTTGTTAACTCTTAAAGTCATACTAGGTATGTTTGTACTGAACTGATATCAAAAGAAAATATTGAGGCTGGTTACGATTTTTCCAACCTCAATTATGTGCTCTGCAAGCATTTTTATGATAGCAGCACATTTATATACTGCAGCAATAAGTAATGTTATCATTTCAACCCTTCTGTGTCAGAATTTGTTTTTTTGCAAAAAGGTTACTGCTTGATTGGATGCAATTGTTTGGCAACAGGATATAAGAATCAAAATAATATATGAATTAAAGTCAGATTTTACCAATAGAAATAAATATTTTTTCACCATGCTTGGCTACGAAGTCCTCAATTTGGGTTAAATTTTAACAACTTTGCATTCTTTTTTTTTTCAATTTTTAAACCTACAATTAATATTAAAGTTTACATATTTTTAAAGATATAGCCATACCTGTATACTGTTACAGCCTGTGGTTCTAAGATTTCTGTTCCCCATTTCACATGTGCATTTAAAATCAATTCCTAAAATTCATATTGAGAAACTCATTCATAAGCAAGGAACCTACATGGACATTGTGTAATAAAACTAACTGCAAGGAGTTTGTAAGTGCTGATTTCTACAGCTATTTTTTATAACTACTTTTTAAGTAATATTATACTACCTCAAAATAAACCAAAACAATCATTTAGATTTTTCATTATTATTCATTGTATAAAAAATTGCTGTATCTTTTTGTTTAGTCTTTATTATAGAACTTTACTGAAAAACCTAACCAGTTTATAATTGGTAATAAGTAACACAATTTTAGTGAAAATTCACAAATATTGCCGCTTGCAATATCAGATATCCAATTAAGGGGAAGTAACTTACTGAGTAATCTGTTTCTATGTTGTGCTTATACAGAACAAATATAAGTGATAATGTTTCTCCTCTGCCTAACTCAACAGGAAACTTTAATCTATCCCCACTAACCATATGGATAGCATGGTCACAACCTATACATGCTCCTCTGAAATATACAGAAAATAATTATTAACTTCATTACAAGTTTTGATGTAGAAAATGTAAGTACTATTAATATGTTGTTTTATTCATAAGTCTTATTTTTAGACATTATTTTTTTCCAAAATTACCTAATATAGTTGAAATTTGCGTTTTAAAATATCGTTACAAACAATATTTCAGTGAAAAGAATAGGGTTTATTTTTCAGAACTAAGTCATTGAAAAGTTGTCTTAGATCTTCTTTAAGGAGCAAATGTCCAAATATAATAAAAAAAAGTCCATCTGCATTTAAAAATCAATTGATTCTTAATTGATGCCAGCGGACAGATTTTTAATCAGCTGTTATGAAGATATATGTGTTAACACATGTAAGCATGTGCACAGGATTCTGAGACTCATTTCACAATAATCTAATGAGAAATATATTCGTAAGTCATAAACATTTCAGAATAACTTACAATCGATTTTTATCGTAAGATTTTTTGTGAAAAGAGCCCCAGATTGTTGGATGTGATGAAATTTCATCTGCCAAAAATTGATGTGAGCAAATCAGAAGATTTAAAGACAGTTTTGTGTATTATAAAAAAAAACTTATTCAAGAGACAGAGAAAATGAAAGAGTTACTTCCACATCATTAAGCTAAAATAATTATTATGTAAACATTTCCCTCTGATTAGAAAGATGTAAACAAAATCATTCTTCTGCATAAAAGATACATTTAAAAGATAAAGTTGCAACAAACTTAAAATATAGAACTAATTTCAATCTTTAAGGACAGAAATAAAAATATGTCCACAGTTATAAGCAGACATGATCAGAAAACTAACTACATGAAGAAAAAAAAATTGTTTGATTTAAATTGGGAAAGTGCATAATATTGAAACAAAGTTAGTAGAAGTTTGCATATCAATATAAAAGGGTCTTCTGCAAGCCTTTATGGAAAGTTGTGTTAAAACAGAGTATATATAGTCATAGGTAACATATCTCTGGTAACAAAAGCAATAGGTTAAGATAAATGAACTTTGGTAGCTCAAAAGATAAAGACTATTGTTCACATATAAGAAAAAATAATTGCCTCTGGCAGACATATATTTTGACTGGTTGTTATGACCACCAATAAGTTATAACTGGTGACCCAGATTGATCATACAGGGGTAATTTCAGAGAAAATGATGGAATTGTGAATTTGCATAGGTATCAGTCACATAAATGGCATCATGGCCACAGGGTTTGCCACCAATCAGGCCTTATATAATTTTCTAAATCATACTTCTTATGTTCATGGTAATTTGCAAAGATTTGGTTTTCTAATTTCCGAGGAAGAGGAATTTGAAACTGTAATTACATTTGCAATCCAATGGCAACAAAAATTTTGAAATTTATAAAAATGGATTTTATATACATTAATCCTGATAAATTTTGTCCACATTGGCTTAAAAGTTTCATAGTAGAATATTAAAATGTATTAATGTTAATGGACAGACAATGCACAGACAAACGGATGGCAACCTCCCACAATTAAAGTATGGTCAATTTTAGCTTTTAAAAAAGCTTGCATGCCTCCCCAAAATAATATTGTTTTGTAATTCCTTTGAGTTACCAAAGATTTACAGTAAGTAGATAAAAGCATTATGAGAGCTAACACATTCTATAAAAGTGTTTATTTGTTTATAATTTAAAACTTGTATACATTGAAAGAATAGAAAGGGTATAGCTATATATGTATGACTATGTACTGATGTACACTTTTTACATAAATGTGCATGTGTGTAATTACTTATATTTTATTTACATTTGGTGATTTTCAACATCTGTAAAAGAAAGCTGTACTGAAACATGGTGTTACAGAAAATGCACATGTTTTTTACGCACAAAAGTCAGGTGCAAATTAATAATTACAAATGGATCAAATACCTTTAAATAAACATTAAAACATGAGAAAGGTAAATATGCTAGATATACTTACAAAATGACTTACTGGAGGTGTGATGAGATGATTAAAGCCCTAAATTTTCTCCTTGACAACATTTATGTACGTTTCGGCGATAAAGTTTATAGACAGGTTGTAGGTATGCCTATGGGCACCAATTGTGCCCCTTTAATAGCATACTTGTTCCTACACTGTTATGAATCAGTTTATGGCCAAACTCAGTAAAGAACCGTCTAAATTCCATTTAATTGATAAATTCAACAAAACTTACCGTTATCTTGATGATATTTTTTCGTTAAATAATCAAGAATTCTCTAAATATACTGCTGAAATTTAGCCAAAGAAACTTTCTATAAATAAATCAAATATTAACAGCAATAACTGTACTTTCCTATATTTAGATATTTCAGTATTACACCAGAAACTCTACACAAAAATTTACGACAAAAGGGATGATTTTTCTTTCCCTATTGTTAATTTTCCTTTTTTGCATGGTGATGTTCCTTTGGCACTGTCTTATGGTGTTTATATATCCCAACTCATTCGCTATGCTCGTGTCTGTAGTGACGTTTTGGATTTTAATGAGCGTAATCTATGTATTACAAGTAAATTATTAAGTCAAGGATTTCATTATCACAAATTACTTGAAACCTTTACTAAATTCTTCCATAGATACAAAGATTTGGTTTGCAAGTTTGCCTGTACCTGTAGAAAACTTATTTCAAACGGAATAGCACATCCTAAATTTTACAGTGATGTTGTTAACCGAGCCCGGAAATTTAGATACGAACCGGGTTAACTTATGAATCCTTTAAATAACTAAAATGTTACCTGTTCAACACTGTAATTAAATCTTTGAATATTGTTTTTATTGGTATAAATATTGATTTTGTTATCAGTAAATTAAAACCATACTAAATATAAACATATTTACTTTCATGGTACTACAATCTGTCGATACCTTTCTTTTGGCATTGCACAAGGTCATGTTTTTCTCTGACTGTTAATGACGTCTTTACACTAAATTCATTGGATGTTGGATGTGTACTGATTATATTTTAGTCTTAGATACATGATTTTTTGTATTAGTTGTTATAGGCTTTGAACTAGCTGTCAGTAACTGTGAGTACTCTCAGATCTATCCTTTTTTGTTGTTAGGGATGGATATATACCCTGCTAAGTCCTGTCTGTGTTTTTGTTTGATGTTTTTCTTTTTATCGATCTGAGGAGTTAAGCCTTTTTCAACTGATTTTTATAGTTTGTTCTTATGTTGTGTGGTTACACCATTGTCCCAGGTTAGGGGGAGGGTTGAGCGCTCACAAACATGTTTAACCCTGCCACATTCTTTATGTGCCTGTCCCAAGTCAGGAGCCTGTAGTTCAGTGGTTGTCGTTGGTTTATGTCTGTCATATTTGTTTTTTGCTGATTGTTTTGTTATAAATTAGGCGTTAGTTTTCTCTTTTGAATTGTTTCATATTTCTTATGTCTGGGCCTTTTATAGCTGACTATACAGTATGGGTTTTTCTCATTGTTGAAGGCCGTACAGTTGCCCATAATTGCTTACATCCACTTCATTTGAACTTTGGTTGATAGTTGTCTCATTGGCAATCATACCACATCTCCTTATTTTTATATAACTTTAAATGATTTGCCTTTATACAAGGCTTGTTCAAGTTACTAAATATAACTTTTGTCTACTTGTAAAATAAAATGCTTTATTTCTGTAATAGACTTAACTGAAATCTAAAAACTAGAAATTTGAATAAAATTCAAAGGCTGGAAAAAATTGCTTTTTTTCTTTCTGAATAACATATCTAAGTATCTGTGCAGCATTACTGCTGTATAGCACCACCAGTTCTTTGCAAAGTAGAGACAAAGTTAACTGAGGCCATCTTGCATCAACATTTTTTTTTACTACATACACATCATAAAATGCTAAATATATAAGCAACAAATGATTTCTTTATAATGATGTTATACAAATCTTTAAAACCACTGCAGAAAAATGAATCAAATGTTGGTTCAACGATTACAAAGTTGTCCCATACAAAATGAATAAGGTAAAATGAAAGCTGTCTGAACTGGTTTGGAATTATTTCAAACTATCCAATATAACAATGTACCACTAGAAGACTTACATATCATCCTGGACATCTCTGTGTTGATTGACAGTCTTGTCACAAGCAGGACAATGACCTTTCATCAGCATACAGTTGTTAATGGCTATGTCTTGTAAACTATCATTATTTACTGAAATTAAAAAAAAAATTCTTACAAACAATTCAAATATCAAATCTATTCCTGAAAATAAGTTAAGATATAAAGTTCTATATTCCTTAACATTTGTGCAAAACAGATTTGTTTTTTTTACTGATTCTGAAATGTTCAATTTATTAGGGTATTGATAGAATTATAATTTTTATGAAACTCTTCATTGGGTTGCTGTCACTTATCTCATTTTATTCATATAAATAATACTTATACAATGAAAGTTTTTCAACAGCCTAATAATGACAGTATAACAGTTATTAAATATGTTTATGTTGTGTGAATTTGTCACCTTGATAAGTGTTTACATTTTCACCTTGTAACTTGTTAATATTTTAATGTCAAGGAGCAGTTCAAAGTCATGTCACAAGCTTTTGTCAGATTTGCAAGAAAAATCAATATGTTGCCCTTAAAATTATAAAAAAAAATATATGTAATTTGCTTAAACATTATTAAAGAAGTCCATAAACATTTGTTAAGAATACAAGCAAAATCAGTCACAAATTTTCTCAAGTTTAAATTACAAGGGACCAAAAAGTGGCTTCATCATACCTTCAATTTTGTATAAAATCAACATATTAATTTCCAAGAAAAAAGAATGGTTTGATTTTAAGAAGTGATTTTTTTTTGTTGACAACTTTGTGCATTTTATACAAATGTGCTACAATAACATGATTTCTATTCAATTACATTTCAAAGATGTAGATAAATGTATTATTTTATTTTTATTTGAAGTTAATTTCTGACAGGCCTAAGTTGTATGCCTAATCTTACAAAAATCTGTGATATCACCCATATACTTTCAACTTAACTGTAAGATAAAAAAATCTAGATAGGATTTAAGTTATTTTCTTCACTTACCACTGAGAAAAACCATGAATTGTCCAGAAACATCTTTGTACTTCACTTGAATTTTTGGTGGCTGGTGGATACGTAAAGTTCTTGATACTAAATTGAAAAAATTTCATATATTGGAAAATTTTGAAATCTATTATATTAACTATCTATGTAACTATTAAATATTCATTAAATTTGTAAGAATAAGAATATTTTATCTGAACAATTTTAAACCATTCCCTTACTGTTCAGTCTAATTAACTTGTCTTCAGTGCTGAAGACCATGTGTTTGATCCCAAACTGTGTAAAAACAAAGGCCTATAAAGCTGGTTCCAGAATCTTCTTGTCAGAGTTAAAGTATGCAACATTTTGGAGTATAAGCACAGGTTTAAGTCTTCTAAGAGTCAGAATCATAAATATGGGAAAGGTGCCATATCGCCTGGAGAAAATACCAAATGGTAAAAAAATCTTTCAAACAAACCAAGGCATATTCATACCATATTTTACAAGTTTAGACCTGCAAATGCACATAATGCTGTCTAGACACTATACAACCTAAAACCTATGATGTTTTTATAGGAGGTAATTGGACCCTATGTGTAGAAATATGATCATCACTGAACTTCTCCTGTCCAGCAGTAAAACTCTAGCTAAAATAGGGAACCCATTTTGCTCTGCAGGTTTTATAAATATGCAGTCACATCTGATCAGAATGGAGACATTTAATCCATCGATCATGTAGGCTGGGGCTCCTTAAAGAACCCTTGCAATGATTATGAGAGGCTGTAGGTGGCATAACGCAAGACAAAATTTCTACCCCTATCCAACATACCCTCATTTTCCAGTGGCAGTCAAAATTTCCTGAACTTTATCCTTTTTGACCTACCTTGCAAAACCTAATTTTTGCATTAATTATTTTGTTTTCGTCCTGAATATGCATGAATTATCTGCCACTGGACATAATTCAAGGACCAATCAATCAATTATATCAAATTGAAGAAAAATATATATTGCTGGCAAAGATATAATGAATATATCTCAGTTGTCATTTTTTCAGGAGTTTTGTGTTTTATTTGAATTTAATATAACTTTCTACACATGTACATTTTCATAGTTTTTCTTTTTATTTCAGTATTTCAGTGTATATATACAAATTTTTGCACCTCATGTTTGCGGTATACCATCTTTCCGCAAGTTTATTGTTTTCTGTTTGGTAATGAATTATTATAAAATCCATTTTAAAACATCTGGTGATCAGTTTATTTGGCAATCGCCAATGGCAGTCAGCAGGGTTTAAGAACATCAGTTGTTCGACCTGCTAGTCAAATGCGTTTTGTTAAAATTTACTTTTTCACTTTTTTGGTCTTTTGGAATATGTTGTTTGTGCTGTATTTAGACCCCTCAACCAAGAAATTTGTTTTGCATGCACACGTATAAAAATTGCGGTTTTTATCCAACGCAATCATAGGTTTGAACGTTGTCTTCAATTTAGACTTTTATATATATATATCTGTTTTTATGGTAAGGATAAATGTCAGTTCATCCTCATGATCAGTATATATTTTTTTAATATAGATTACTTCTGCAAATTTAAAGTACTTTAAAATAAATTTTTATACAATCATATGATTATTGTCATTCTCCGCCATATATGCATTTTGTAATAATGTTGTTATTAATATGACACTGATGCATTGAAAATTTAATGTAAAAATGTATATTCTATAAGCTGTATTGCATTTGAATAAAGTATTATATTATTATTAAAAATCAATTACCTGACTTTTGAGTATAAATCTTTTCTTTCTCTGGTAAAGGTTTAATGTCATCAAGCTTCAACAAGAAATCACTTTCTCCTAACATTCTCTTTGGACAAGGTATTGGCTTGACAATGGATACTGTCAAATAAATTTTAGTATCACACGATGAAATATTATTTACTGTTGCTTCTAATGGGATGATAAATGTTTTGTCATCAACAAAATAAGGCTTCTTCTCCTGAAATTAGAAAACAATAAAGTAAAGTGAGTTCAAAATTTAATAACTCTTGGTGGTGTTGGTGTTAATAACATCCAGTTTAAATATTAATCATTTGAATATGCAGTTTTTCATGTCAAGGTTAATTGCTCAAAATCACTAGCTAGCTAGCAATACTGGTTTTGGTTAAAATGCCTGATGTTTACTGTATATATCTATCTTCACATACAGGCATGTTTGATTTCTTTTATTGATATTACTCCATGGCTTTGATCTTCAATTCACAGTTGTGGTGTGATTGTCAGTTTACGAAGAATTCTGCTCAAACCGGTGCTAGGGAAAGTCTTAAACTTGCAGTGAGGTGAGAGTTTTTTTGCTCCATGTTGAAGGCCTCCCTACATGTATGACTTTGAGATGAAGAACAGCAATAAAAGTGCTGTTCCTTTGCTTTTTGTGTTTATTGCTGTGCATATACTGATTTTGTGAGTTGGATGGATACCCCATATCCTTACTTTTCTATTATGTGTACATGTGCTCTGTGATTTTGTATTTAATATTGCTTCAAGTAAATGTTCATACACATTTTCATATTTTTTATCTTCCTAAAAATCAAGGAAAAATACAATGAATGGAAGAAAAATATGGTTAGCTTTTTAATGAACACTACAGCAACCTTACAACATAAACTGATAAATTCAGCAAATATAATAGATATGATTTGAAGTCAAGAGGCAAAGTATTGTCTTATCTTTTAACAGTACCACTGGATGAAAAAAATATAAAATCTCATTTGTCTAAGCATGGAAGTATTATATTGACAGGAACTCCAACGTAAAATGAGCACATTCCCATCCCACTGATTTCTTTAAGATAATAAAAGGTTCCGACTCAGTTTGTGGATAACTCCTTTGTGGGGTATCTGCGATGCCGCCTTCGCCTGTTCTGTTAACTGAAGCTGGTCTTATCACATGATTTGGTATCCAGTGTCTTATCTACCTACCAATGTAAATAAACACGGAAACTCCCGTGGTTATTTGTGAATCCCCACATGAATAATGACACATGTTTCCGTTCAATAAATGAAGGCAAAAGCTGAAAAGATCTAAAAAATCGGTCCATATTTAACAGAATGACATAAGAAAGTTAACTGCATTCAGAAAGAGGATAATATTATTTTTAGTTTTGTTTAATATGTTTTAATCATTGGAACTTGGAAATCAGGAAATATCCGGTATTAAAAATAACATGATGTACCCCGGTACCTGAAGTCGGGTGTTTGCGAAAAATATCGCTTGTAGTGTGTAAGATGGCGAAGGATAGCTCAAATTTAAGTTAAATGTTGTAAATTTTTATCGAACGTTACAAGAATATTTATGGTTTTCTCTATCGTCTCTATGTAGAAAAATGTAATTAAAGTATTTATCAAATATGTTTTAAAGACAAAAAGAGGTTAATAATCACATGCACGTTATGACCTCTACATAGCATGTACCAGGTTAAGAGACAGATGAATTGTTACACCTTTTATAATAATTCAAAAGTTAAAAACAACCTTCATCCTAGTCCGAGATTGCTCTGACATCTGCCAGAAATTTTTTTAGGAATGGCTTAACTTTAAATATTCTGGATGCATTTAAAGAACGATCATCATGATGGGCCCTAAGCAGTATAATATTTTTTTATTCTTAAAATATTATCATGGGAACCAAATTTGAATTTATTTATGTGTGTAAATGCTTAACAGTTCTGAAACATCTAACAATGTATGTTAAGCAATTTATGTTTTTGTTTCTTGTTGAATTGCATGAAATATTTGCCATTGGATTTTCAGTAAACAATTAATCAAAATATTTGACAAATTTAGCAATATGCCAAAATATGATATTTTTTTTCGATCAAAGCCCTTCTGCCCTTTAACCCCTTGTGAGTATTTTTACTCTTCAGTTTTTTTGTTTTTTTTTTAAACAGTTGCGGGGTTTTCGTTTCTTTCTTTTTATTTGTTTTTACGCAGCAAAACCCGTCAAAACTGTCATATTTAGTTATATGGTCGGTAAATGTCATTTCCTTGACAATTAAGTACACATCCGGTTATTTCGGTATATTCCATAATTACGATCAATCATGAGGCTCCAAAAATTTGATTTAACCCATGCATCCATGTGACATGTCGAGTGAATTAACAGATACTTAACGATTTTGTGGCATCGCACTATAAACGTTTGAAGTCGGTTTGTTGGAGTTCCTGTCAATATAATACTTCCATGGTCTAAGTAAGGATAAAAAAGAGAGCTAATGACTTTTCCTGATTTTGAAAAATTTGACAGATTGGTCCCTGTATAAATTGCTATTTCTGAAAGACCATCGTCATAAATAACAATCACTTCTGATATCCAGAAAATTTGCTAATTACTAAAAGTTTTTTGGTGTTTGTTTATTCTAACTTATAAATGACTCTTTATACATGTATTTAAAATAAGCTTTTGAATATATAGTAAACTTTATTTATATCCCATTATAGGATGATTGTACCAAACCTGGTGATTACTTTAGAAAATCAACTTACATGTAATTTTATGTGTGTATTTGTGTCAGCTATGCTTTTAAACACATTGCACAAAAAGTGACTTTTATTGTAAGACAGTTCATTTTCGTCGATATTAGTTATATTTTTTGCAACGTGGAAATTGACGTGTCCATAAAGATTTTCAATTCTTTTTTTCCATATATTAATGTTCCCATTCAAACACTTAGGAAAATTAACAATCACATTAACAAGATACGTTTTCCCAATATTTACACACTTAAATTTGTCACTGTATTGCACATCACTTCCATTTTGTTTCTGCTTTTCAAATATATGCAAAATTATGTTAGAAAGATCAGCATCTTCTTCCATGATCTATGCTGTCTGCTAATATATCTTATTGTACAACTGTGTTGCCACAATCAAGAAGTCCTTTCCTGAGACAGGAAGTCTAATTTATAACTAGACATTTAAGTATAGTTTATGTTTATTTGTGTTTCGTTTTCTTTTGCTAAATTCAAACGATTAAAAATAACACAAAAAATAAATACTGTTCAGCAAGGCAACTATCAAACTATGATTATTGATCCCATAAACGTTTAAAGCTGAATGTGAATTATGTCTGTTTACTACTATCACTGTAAAATCAAAACTTCCGGTTCCAATTTTCACATGGGTTGCATTAAGTTGTACATGTAAGCCTGTTGGAATTTATTTATCAGTGAAATGGCAACTTGGTCAATGAACCAGTATTTTCAAACAGTGAGTTTTTTTCAAATATGAAATTAAAACAAATCATTATGCTCCGTTGAATATAGTTGTTCAATTTGACGTCTATTTTGGACATGTAAAAATAAAAAAAAATAAATAAATAGAAATTTACAAGAAAGAAAGATTAGTCCAAGACATACATGATACAACAGCATGGCTAAAAACAATGTAGACAAAAAGACATTTACTGACAACAGTTTTCAAAAATATGGAGTAACAACTGTAATTGACCTAGCTGCGGAACCTTAGCTCTTACATGTACCCTTACATGTAGGTCCTTGTGATATTTTTTGACAATTTGGGGACAATAGATCATCTGCATATTGTCAAGATGTATCACAAGGACCTAAGAGCCACGGTTCCACAGCTATACTTGACCATTACTGTCATGAATTGCTAGCTGTTGAAATGTTCTATGTATCAAATTTTTATTACGATTTTTACCTAGATATTCTAAATTTTTTTGGTAGATACACTTTTATCTTAATATGAGACGCATTACCTGTGAAAGGGGACGAAGTCTATATAAATTATTTTTTTTTAATTCAAGTTCTAAATCTGTTAAAAAAGAAACGGAAATACCGTAACGTTTCCGATTTTGGTTCTGTTTTTAGGGATTTTAGTTGTGACGTTGTTTTAGTTATGACGTCATATTCAATGTAAACAAAGAAAAGCTATCATCAGGTAACGTTTTTTCATATCAAAGGATAATTAGAAATAAAATTGTTATTGTGTTCCTTCCTATATTTTACTGGACTGATAAATATATATTTCACTCAAAGTCTCATGACAAACGAGACCGGAAGAAGGAAGTAGATTTCTGCGCAATAGCGGGAATTAAAAAAAGTTAATGATTTTGAGTTCATTAGTACAATGAAAATTTCGGGAAATTTTCCCGATTTTTTTTTTTTTTTCTTTTTTATTGATTTTTCTACTGTTATAGGGGACTTTGTCCCCTTATTATTTCAGATATGCTTAGACATGTTAAACCAACTCTTTCACATTTAAATGCCAAATTAATTTTGTGTATGTAATGCATGCTGCTATTATCATGATTATCGTTATTATGTTGTCTATATGTTTTAATATTCAGTCAAAAGCTCTTTGAGCTTGTGTTGTATAGTTTTATGAAAACTGAATAAAAAAAAATTTATTTTCTTATTTAAATAATTAGTGCACAGTAATTATTGTCAGGGCAGTTTGCTTCTATACTGTTCCACCAGGGTTTGTTTGTCTACGTAGTCCCTGGCTTCTTTAATTTTGTTCTTGTTTTTAATGAAAACATCAGGTATATTTATGGTATTTAACGGTTTTGTCCAATCTGCAACACTTATGTTGAAGAAGTGAGACATACCTATATAAAGATAGGAGGAAGATGTGGTATGATTGCCAATGAGACCACCCTCCACCAGAGACAAAATGATGTAGACGTCAGCAACTATAGATAAACATACAGCCTTCAAAAATGAGCATACAGCATAGCCAGCTTTAAAAGGCTAGGAAATGACAAATGTAAAACAATTTGAATGAGAAAACCAACGGCCTAATTTATGTAAATGTACAAAAGAATAAAGGAAAAACAAATACATGGTTTCATGTCATTCTGGCCCAAGTTAATTCGGACACTTTATGAAAAAAACTTTGACAAGGGATAAGAGTGATATATATGTTAATATGTCATGTAGTACATTTGTAAATAAAGGTTAATGAATTTTAGTGATAATAACAATGATGGACATAAAAATTGTGCCTTTGACACATATTGAAATATATTATTTTCATAAGACATGTTAGATGCAATATTTATTCGAATATTTTTTAAATATTAATATTCAGATTTCTAAAGTAAAAATTTGGTATGACACCAACATATACAATTCGAAATAAATTATTTTTAATATAAAATATTTAAATCAGAATAACTTTATCACCTTTAATGTCAGAGTAGGGATGATTATACAGAATAGCATTTATGTTGATTACAATTTAATATAAATTAAAGAAGTTACCAAGAATATTGAGAATCCATTATTGTGATAAAAACTTATACATGTATTACAGAAGTTAGTACAATATTTAATTTGTCAACAATAATCAGCAGTTGTTCATATGACTTTGATCTTAATAAGATTTAAAAAAAACTTGGTGTAATATTATTACTGATAACAATCATAAGCTGATCATGACCCACAAACTTTTTTTTAGTAATAAAAATACTTAAATTGAAAAATATTGTTTGATTCAGGAACCCCTTCCATATAAAGTTAATTACCTGTTGTCATTGATTATTAAATCTCCTTCCTTAAAATATTCAACAGCAAAATTTACTTCTTCGTGTGCAAATTGCCACTTACATCATGTACATGTACCCTGAATCAAATTCTTTACAAAACTTATATTTGATATAGTAATTATTCATTATTTTATTTTGGGGCCAGAACGAATTTGGCCTGATTGACTTGTTGCAGGATCAAGTTTGGCCGGATTGGTTTGGGGCCTGAATTACCCTTTACCTGGAACAGTGTTGTAACAGCATAACATAAAAACAAACTATAAACATCAGTTGTAAAGGGCTTAACTCAGATCGATGCAAAGCACAAAAACACAATAAATTTTATATAGTTTGTTCTTATGTTGTGCTGTTACACCACTGTCCCAAGTTAATGGGAGGGTTGAGAACTCACAAACATGTTTAACCCCGCCACATTCTTTATGTGCCTGTCCCAAGTCAATAATCAGCAGTTGTTCATATGACTTTATAGACAACATAAAACCTGTAGTTCAATGGTTGTCGTTGGTTCATGTCTGTCATATTTGTTTTTCATTAATTGTTTTGTTATAAATTAGGCCATTAGTTTTCTCAATTGAATTGTTTCATATTTTTCATGTCAGGGCCTTTTATAGCCGACTATACGGTATGGGTTTTTCTCATTGTTGAAGTCTGTAGGGTAGCCTATAATTGCTTACATCCACTTTATTTGATCTTTGGTGGATATACATGTAGTTGTCTCGTTGACAATCATACCTACTCTCCTTATTTTTATATAGATCTGAGAGTACTTCCAGTTACTAGAATTAGTTCAAAGCCAATATTAACTAATACAAAAATCATGTATCTAAGACTAAAATATCAATCAGTACACATCCAAAATCCATTGGAATGTAAAGACGTAATTAACAGTCAGAGAAAAACACAACTTTGTGCAAAGTATAGGTATCAACAGAATGTTAGGCAGTGAATGTACATGTACATCTGTGTACATGTATAGCAATAATATTTATTTGGATTTTAATTTATTGATACCAAAATCAATATCTGTACTGATGAAAACTATATTCAAAGATGTTATTACAGTGCTAAATTCATAATCTTTAAATAAGTTTATTTAAAGGATTGACAAATTTACCCAGATCATATCTGAATTTCTGGGCTTGATAAACAACATCAACGTAAAAATTAGGATGTTTTATCCTGTTTGTAATAAGTAACAATGTGTATCAAGTCCATCTGTAGTATTCCTTCTACATGTATTTTTAGCACAGTAATATATTTTGTACCAAACCAGATGTTACCAGGCTGACAACATGAGCCTTTATCATAATTGTTAGTTCGTAACAATTGTTATTTAAAATTATATTATTAAACCATTATCATGATTATTTAATCTGAATAAAATATTAATATGGACAAACAGACTCTGGACAAATGATTATATTGGGAAATAGGGTACAACTTGATTGTGGGTGAACAAACCCTGATTCGACATTTATAATGTGTTTTAAATAGCCTTATGAAGTAGGTTAAAAATATTATCTCACAACTGCCTTCTACAGATCACACATTAAGATTTGTTGCTGGAATATGATTGATCTAGAATTGTGGCTTTACCCTTACATGTTTGAATTAAAGTTGTAACTGTTAAATCTTAAGTACATATGTATAAGAGATAATGACAAAGTATTTTTTTATTTTAGTTAGATGATGCCTTATATGTAAGAGATGGGTTGAATATGTACAAGAGATAATGACAAAGTATTTTTTATTTTAGTTAGATGATGCCTTACAAGAAAGAGATGGGTTGAAAGCAGCAGTAAGTTAACTTCATCAAACATATATTTATGTTAGATATAAATCTATTTTTATAACAAATCCCTGAACAATATTTACAGAATATATATATATATTAGCAACTAACATGTTGAAGAGAAAAAAGGTTAGTGTGAAAAAAAATTTGGTAAATAATTTTAGACAAGATGAGAAAAGTGTTTTTCTATTATGTTAAGCTAAAGCTTTTCATTACTCTTCTCTTTTCAATTACTCAGTGATTTTTGCATGTGTGCATGTGCAGAAAAATGACTTCTAGTTATTAAAATTAGTCATTTTTTATCTGTTAAATGTACCGATAGCTTTTGCGGTGAAGTTCCAAAAATTATCAGAAGTTTAAAAAAATCTGGCTAAATAATGAGGAATAAGCAACCATTGAACAAAATTTGTATGGGATAATGATCTATTTTGAATTAGGTTTATTCTATTTTGTTTGACAATTTTTTCCAGGAATTACTATCATTCCAACATCCACACATTCAAAATCCTCGACTACAGGTAGAGAATC